GTAACTTATGCTTAGCGGCTAACCTGGTCGGGACCAGGTTAGGTTGCAGGCTAAGAGCTCAACTCAATGAAAGCACTGCCTGCTGACCAATCAGAGCTCAGTGTGCGGAGTTTAAAGCGATCAAGTCATATTACAGGAGAAAGGAAATACAGAAATACTGCCGTCGCAAGAAAGACGGCCGGCAAAAATCACCGACTGTGTGAACGTGAACATTAATAGAATATCACCTCCCATCTTCAGAGCAATCTGACTATTATAACATTAGCGTTAAGAAAGCTTACTTAAATATATGCCACAACATAAGTAACCGGATCAGAGTAACATTAAGTACAGTCCGCGGCATATCACATCATAATGTATCATATATCTCCTTATCTGAGTCAGCTGAGCCGTATCTGGCTGTGCAACACTCACAGTGTCACATGCAGAAGTATTATTTTAAGCAACGCATTAAGTTGACGAAACACGAGACAAATGTAATTAAAGTCAAATCGTGTTTTAGACGGGGCAGTGATATCATAAACCTGTTAATGTACGCATTCAAACACTTTTTCTTTTGCCAGCTGTATTCACCTTGCAGGTGCAGCTATGTGGCTTTTATCCTGGATAAAGTGTTTAAGTCATGGATGTTTAAAGTTTAACTTCTTCATTTTTGACTAGTATTAAAGTTCACTTTTCATTCAGGAAGTATGACGCTGCGCTGTCAGTACGCTTCTCCATGTTTCTGATTGGTCGAATGCTCCAAATACCACCCCTTTCATGTGAACGCGCACCTAACTAGATAGGAAACGGCTGGCTTGAGCGATCCACTTGATAACCAGCGTCGTAGTACAGTTTAGCGAGAGCGCGTATGTTTTGGATTAGGCCAACCGGCTAACTCAAACATATCCAGGTTAGGTTGAACCAGCTTCGTAGTATAGGCCCCAGGTCTCCCTTGAAAAAGAGATCAATGATCTCAATCGGATTTATCTGTCTAAATAAAGGTTGGAAATGAAATGAAATGAATGTTGACGAAACACTCGAGTCAAATGTAATTAAAGTCAGATCCACTCGGGTCTTAGATGGGGCAGTGATATCATAAAACTATACGCTTTCAAACACTCGGTAGGCCTAGTTATTTTTTAACCAGTTGTTCTGTATTCTCCTTGCAGGTGCAACTCTGTGGCTTGTATCCTGGATTATATGTTTAAGTCATGGATGTTTAAAACTCATATTTGTCTAATATTAGTTTACTTTTCATTAATGAAGTCTGACGCTGTGCTGTCAGTACACTTGTCCCTGTTTGTGATTGGTCAAATGTAGCTAACCCCGCCCCTTTCACGTGAACGCGCTCTTAGCTGGTGAGAGAAACCCTGGCTTGATTTACCGAGTTGATAACCAGCGTCGTAGGACCGCTTAGCGAGATCTCGTTTGTTAGTTTGTTGTTGTTAGTTTGTTTATCCAGGGTATGTTGAACTGGCTTCGTAGTACAGGGCACAGGTGGCTAGCAGCGCTAATGTCAAAGACACAGACATTATACATTATATTTGTATTTTACCAGGATACAGTGACACAAATATTTGGGAACACTTAGCCTTCCCTAGCCTACAGCACCCGCCGCCCCTGCATGAAACCTAAACTAGGGAACAATCTTAGCAGAGCCGTCTACTTACAACAGTGGGCGCATTTGTGTCGAGGAGAGTTTGAATTATCCTACATGAAACCACTTTAAATCACCAACAAGAGCACCTTAGATCAGGAAACTTCATGGCTTAGGTCAGGGGTCGGCAACCCGCGGCTCTCGAGTCGCATGCGGCTCTTTAAGCCCTCTGCTCTGGCTCCCTTGAGTTTAGACATAAATAAGAAGGTAATTACATAGAAGTATTTGTAGAACTATTTATATTTTGTTGCATGGTTGAAAATGTTTCGGATCTTGTATTTTGAGGTGATACTGTGATACATAAATAAAAAACAAAACGGTTTTAATTAGGTCAACTAAAATATGTGTCACATCCTGCTACGGTCCCGCGCCAGCTCCTTTTCTTGCAGGTGAATAACCTGACCCCCGGCTCGATGAGCGAACTATGGATAAATCAAAGAAAATAAAAGTATCGGAGGAACACAGGATTTAATTCTGCGTGGACAGAGTTATATGCTTTCACAGCAAACGATGCTGGTTTTCCGGTATGTTTGATATGTGGAGAGAAGTTGTCAAAGGTGCTGCGTATCGAGGAAAAAAACGGAAGAGGAAGACAACTGACGATCTTCAGTCATAATTCAATCAGTAAACTCTTTTTAGGGTGCAGATATGTTTTATTTTATTTGTATTGTTTTTCCTTCAAATGTGCAGAGGACTACCCAAGTGTTGTGTTTAATTTATTTTAAAGTAGGCCTGTGTATTTTTTTTTAATTATACCTAACCTTTAATTACTCCTTATAAGAGTTCTTTGTTTTTTATTAGAGGTTAACAGTGTTATTATGTAATACATAATAAATGCAAAAAAACTGTAGTTTTTGTCTATGATATAACAATAAATACAACTTTATAAGCTATCAAGTATGTTTTGCGGCTCCAGACAAAACAAATTGTTGGAAAAGGGGGCAAAATGGCTCTTTTGGTCAAAAAGGTTGCAGCCCCCTGGCTTAGGTGTACTCATAGCTGTAATGTAGGTCTTTATATCACTTCAACAATATTATATTATATAAGCCAGCTTTAAATGGCCTCCTGCAGCAAAAACATATACCAATAATAAACGTTTTATAATAATCGAATCACATTATTCTGTAACACATATTAGCAATCCAATTTATTGCTAGGAAGTAACCAATGTAATCTAATTTGTAAACATTTTTTTTTTTTAATGTTAAGTATTAATCAGGCCTTGGAACTACTTTCCTGTGTAATCTAAACTATTGGACCGTAGAATCTTGTCACTTTTATTTTTTCCATAATGATATTGTATGGTGTCTTTCAATTATATATTTACAATTCTGACAACAATGATGTACATACCAGTGTAAAAAAATGAATTGATTTATGTAGAACTCTCCCTCCATTTGTATGCCATTAAAGCCTATTTGATGAGGGTTATCTGATTCTAGTGTGCATGTTCCTCTTTACTTTTTATGGCCATGGTTAGTAGCAACTCCTGGTAATGTATCACACTGTTTCCATTTGTGCTCCCAGGGCAACACACCCTTCCAGCCACAACACAAGTATGTCAGCACGTCAGCACTTCCCTTGCACACTGTATATATAGCACAATTGATAACGGATTGCATCCTGTGCCTTGAATTAAAGTTTGTGTACTTTTGAAATACCTGCACTATGCTATGATATAGACGCTATGAGAAACACAATAATAATGCCCAAGGATAAGAGCCAAGTACAGAAAATTCCAAGAATTGACCAATCTCTGAGTCCCAAATGGAGGCAATTTTTACCACAGGCTTGTTCTTTTCTTGCAATTTTGCCTGTAGAGCTAGTAATAAAAATAGAAGTGTGCCACAGAATGTTAGGAGGATAGCAAACAATGTTGCAGCACTGACAAAAAGAGAAGATTGGATTACTGTAACATTCCCTTCCTGACAAATACAAAACAAACATATTTTCAGTAGTATGGTGGCAATAACTCTTTTACTCTTTAGAGGAAAAATAAATCCCTTATTAATGTTACCACTCACTTGGGTTTATACCACTGTTTGAACATATGTAATACACTGTGAATCTGGGTCATAGGCAAGTTTATAGTGGGATACAAGCCACATATGGCAGATGTTTTCACTATCAAACCTGGCCAATAAATACTACTTCAAAGCTGGAACACAGAGTGTTAGGACTCGTGTTATTAGCGTTGTTGGCTCATTACTTGGCACCTCAAGGCAAACAACAGCCAGCCCAGAAGAGGGTTACAGTTACAGAATGACACCGTGAGGCTTAAGATACTTTTGTATCTCCAAACATGGATCATGTCTAACAAATAGGAACAGCCTTGGACTTTTTGGTCAATACCGTCCTACCGTTATAAACGTATATATATATTATATATAATTTAATTTGCCATGTAATAGTATATATTATAACATTATTGTTATTTTCAATGGCAATTAATGGTTAAAGAACACACTTCCAATGTTTTATGTTGTTTGTCTTTTAAGGAAATGCTCTCATTTGTTTGGACTAACTTGTCCATAATCATGAGAATTCATGCATAACAATAAGTTCAACATTTTAAAAGATAGCTGTAGCACAATTACCTTTTTGGTAGGTTCATAAAAAGTGACATTTCTGAGGGCATGGATGTCATGAAATGTTAAAAGATTCAAACACATGTTTCCAAATGAGGCACAAGATGAATCTGCTAGCCAAACCCAAACCTTGCCAGTCTTATCCCTTCTGTTTCTGGAGTGCACCACCAGTTGACCTGGTATTGGCTCACTGGGCTGTGCTCTCCCTCTCCCCCCACCTCTCTGCTGTCATTGCCTTCAGACTCACTAGGCTGTGGGCATTTACTAGCAACAGCGCAGCATGAATAATTAGTTATTTTTCAAACATTTGGCTGCCTCAGCCTCAAGGGACTTATACCTCTTCTATCTTAGATTTTCAGCTCCACCATTATGTTTTTCTTTCACTTTTTGTTTCTGAGTCACTATTTCTCTAAGTGTCACCAAGTAGGAATGGGAAAAGGGCCAGAGAAAGTAAGAATGGTCAAACCAAAAGTAACTGGCTGGGAGAGAGAGGCTGACTGACATTATATCCAAACAACCTCCAACCAGTTGTCAGAAAACAGGTCTCTGCTGCTTTAATGCTGCTTATGGTTAAGGTCTTATTGTTGTTAATAATTGTATCTCACCATTGAGCCTCTTCTCTTGTTACCGATAACAGAGGTTGGTTTGAAATATGCACTTGCACTAACCAAACTGGGGAATAATAGACATGTAATTGGATGTTTAAAACTGAGCGGCAATCATGTTGTGATAATTGCAATCATCCCTGTCTTTATCTCTCTTTTTCTTCATAGAAAGTGAAGAGTTTGGGCCAGTTTTTATCCATGAGCCTGGCGATGTTATCTTCCCTTTGGATTCTGATGAAAAGAAAGTGATGATGCACTGTGAAGCACGGGGGAATCCACCGCCCACATACAGGTGTGACATATATCTGTCTCTTTCCTGATTGCTCTTGTTCCAATGCAGCTCATTAGCACAGCATTACTCACATAAAGGTCCTATTCTTGTTGTGTTTTCCAGCTGGTACATCAATGGGACAGCATTGGATGCAGAGGCAGACTATCGCTACAGCTTTATTGATGGAAACTTAATTATTACCAATGCCAGTGAGATCACAGACTATGGGAGGTACCAGTGTAAAGCAGAGAACAGCTTCGGGAACATCCTGGGTCGAGAAGCTCTTCTGATGTTTGCATGTGAGTAGACTCTATTTTATTCATTCAAACATTGCTACAATCTAATAATATATCGTTCTCTGTACAGAAGCGTGTATCCCTGCGTCCATGTTGGAAAAGTGTATGTTTTCCTTTTGTCAGGGGGTTGAAGTATATGGCTCTCATATAAAAAAAAAAAATCAGCTGAAAGCTCTTTGTCTCTCTGAGTTAAAATAAACCTGTTTGCTTTCAGGCGTAAATAAACACTTGGCTGTAAGATTTGAGTTCCCATCGGCTCAATCTGATACTGTTGGGTTGCACTGCTAACAGGGTATGTGCCTCATAGGCCATGTCTCAATGGTAAATGAGGGCAAAAAGCACATTTCTTCCCCGAGTAATTCTCTGGCCTAACTCCAAAACATCATCACAGGCTAAGGCGGCACACACACAGAGACCAGAGTTACTGTGCTCAGAGGGAAATGCAATGTTGGTTTTCTCTAGTGTTTCCTCTAGAGCAATTACCATAATTGCCTTGTTGGTATGTCTTCAGGGAGCATACTGTGCGCACTCCTTGAAATGTTGCTAAAAGTAAAGGACGTGGTCTCATGTGTTGTTATGGGGACTTGCCGTCATTACAGGAATTACTTAAAAAACAAATGGCTGGAAAAGTCTGAAAAAAGAGAAAGAGAAAAAAAGGAAATGGATTTCTGCTTTTATAAAAGCACTTTTCTCTTCAGGCTAACACAACAAAAGTTGTTGTTTTTTGGTCTTCGTTTGTTTTCCTTCACAAAGTTGCACGATGAAAACAAAATTTGAGGAAGAGTTAAATTAAATATAAGTAAGACTGCGTTGGCACTTGGCAGCAGAAACGTCCAGATGGTAATGCTATGACACACGCTTCAAAATATAAAAAAGTGATGCTAGTTTCTGAGGGACAGAAGCTGTACCTCAACATTTACTCTTATCTGTTCTCTCAACTATCCAGATCCCTTCCTCCCCCTCTCTCTACTCAAGTTGTCACATTTGTATGCAAAAAAATTAGATTAGCCTTTTTTTCTGATCATTTAACTTGGAGCCTGGAAATGAGCAATAACACATAGACACTCATTTATCAGTTTAAACATCAAGTTGTGACACAGGCAGCTATTTTTAGTTTTGCATAAATACTGTGCATTTGCTTCACACTATATCATCCACCAGATATCTGTCACCAAGGTGACGGCAGTATTCACAGGTGAGTATTTAGCAATTTTGTGTTGTTTTTTCATCACGCCCCCGGTGTGTGAAGGCCTTTAGTCTGGCACATTAAGATGCAGCACCTGTAATGGCTGCCTGATCCTTGTTCCAAAGAAAGCTGAATATATTAGCGTTATCAAAACCACCTTTTTCAAATCCAAATCATTTATTTTTTCTCTGTTTACTCCAAAACAACATTCGCCTCTAGTAAATGTGGACTCTACAGGTAATTCTTCTAAATCGGCCAGGCAGAATCTTGGTCTAAGTTTATGAAGGCTTAGGCAGAGAGTGTGTTTGGGGTCATGTTGGTTGATTGGCAGGTGAGTCAACTGAGATGATGGCCACTTGTTTGTCACACATCAGCTTCACCCAGCCCACCTTTCCACAACAATTTTATTTTCTAGTTCTAATGACAGACAGACCAGTCAGTATCCTTTCATTGAGGGAATGACAGGTTGTTTTGTGAATAGTTGCAGCACACACAGGTCCAAGGTCTCACAGCAGACATCTCAGATAATCTGCTATAAAATGATATCATTAATATTCCTCTCTGTAGCTAAAACATTTAATTTCCATGAACTGCGGCACAGAATCATTTTGTAGACACAGCCCTAAATAGCACTAACTGAATAAACATCTCATACTAATGTGTCGGCAGCATCTCACCAACTGTTGAGATATGAAGGACCAGATTCTCTGTGTAATAGAGCGCCATAGTCTCCTCTTACCGGTAAAAAATCATAATTTGTTCTATTTGGGGTTATAGTTTAAATACCATATGTAAAACAGATTCAAATTACGAAATAAAAGATGTGTATCAGTGGTAATATAATCATTTCTGATTACAGGGTCAATCTGTATATTATGGCTTCTATCCCTGAAAAATGCAAATGCTGATGTTTTGTATCAGGCTTTACAGCAAATGTGCAAGTTTATACCCTTAATTCACATTATTCCCATAAAAAAAACATATATCGTTCAATAAACTTAACATCAGCGCTCACTAGTTGCCTCTTAAACGTCCCTTAGCTCTATTTAGAAAACCTGTGGAGTAATTTCATTCCATGACCAAATGTATTTCCCTATAATTGGCTATTACTTGTGGGAAAGACACATCTGTGTGACACTTTCTTCAGCCTCATGTGGTACAAATATTCAACTGCATCAATGTTTAATAGTCTCACTCTCAGGCTACTTTTCTTTTAAATGTGACCCTTCAAAAGGCTAGCCACAGAAACAAAGAGAGGTGCCCTGCAGCACACATTTGGATGCAGAAGCTTCCCTCTCTCTTTCAGCATAACAAATGTTGGGCATTTATCACCCAGCGTGGAGCTCAACTCTTTCCTCCCTTTTCTCGTTGGCACTGCACATTTTCATGCATTGACACAGTGTGGACTGCTTTATCTTGCTTGGATTCACATGGGCAATTCTATCCTTTTTAAACAAGTAATTGGGGATCATTGCCTTTGTATTAGATAGAAATATTATTATATGTTCAAGGAGTCAGCAGGCTCCTTGTAACTTGATTTTTAATTTGGGAACATTACGTATCAAATTAATATTTTCTATATGACATGCTTATGTGTAGAGTTATGAAGTAAACATTATGCATGTTTCAGGATGGATTCTGCCCAAAAATATACAGCTTGTTATGGAAATAATTATCATAGACGCCAATTTGTAACATACAGGACAAACCTTGATGTCTGTTTACCTCCTTTAAGGACACAGGCTGCTTAGCCAATAATGTTATTGTTCCCATTCTGTGACCGGTCAATACTGGGATACAGATGGTCTGTGTTGTGGGTACACTGGGACACTTCCTTCTCTGTATTTGTGGACTCCAAGGTGAAATCTTCGAGGTCATAGGTGTCCGACGCAAGTAGCTCAGTGTTCCCACACTGTTTAGGCTATCTTCTCAAATATGTTGTTTACTCTCTGCGAAACCAGTTAGATGGGCTGGCAAGAGAGAGGCTCTCCAGAATTGACGTGGCAACTCTACCGTGAAGTCAGAACCTCTGACTCTTGGACTTGTGATGTGAATCCTCCGGCCGTTAACTCCAAATAAACCATCATGTGTTTGACATCAAAGCTACTGCTCCTACCGTGTCTCCTTCCTGAGTCGGTGACTCCCACTGCATAGCTACACAGAAGTTTCCTCTACACAGCTTAATATGTTGAATATTATAGTTTTAGCTAATTTACCTGAATGTGAGGTAAAGTAAGGGGCATACATACAATGATTTTGTTTTGATTTGTTTAGCAATGACTGGCTTGTGTGCACTTTTCTTGTTGAATATTGAGTATATTACTAGTAAGTTATATATATTAGTGAATAGTTTAAGATTTTGTCTCTGTGTTTAAGATTATAGATTATATTAATCCTTAAATGGAGTATCACATATAAACATTGGAAACATAATTGATTGCTATTTTCTGCAATGCACCAATATTTTATCACCATCCCCACACCCATGTTATACCATTATGACACCCTTATTTTACACCCAGATTAAGTATTATTAGACCCATAAAAGACCAATGTAACACGTAAACCGTTATTATGCTGTCATTATACCCCTTTTACACCATTATTAAAACCCTCATACACCTATATTGTACCTAAATTACACTATTATTACACCTATATAAGACCCATATTGCACCTATGTAACACAAATATAACACCAATATTACACCATAACTGACTGAATGTATCCCCCAGGATACTGAACCCATTTAAGGGTTAATCACATTCATTGTGTGTGTTTATAAGACATGTTTGAGGTTTTATGTTGAATTTGTCTTACGGTAGTTGAACCTAATCTGAAGGAAAACATTTTTGGTTTTGTTTAGTTTAGGTTGTCTTGAATTTATTTTCAACACTGGTTGTAGTCATCCTGCTGCAGCACACCCTCTGGGGTTGAAAAGACAAGCTGTCGAACAGAAAACAGCCCCATTTCATGCTAGCAGTCAACATGTATTAATATAGCATGCTTCACAGGCATCAGTCAAAAAGTGTTTCAAAGAAATAAAATCAGATATAATGAAATAAATAATACAAAGATACAACACCATTTAAAAAAATTCAAGAGAACAAACCTCAGACAAAAGTTAAAACATAAAAAAATATAGACAAAAAAGAAATACAGCATGCTACCTGAATGACAGAGCAGATGGATTGTTGGCTGCTTATCAAAATAGTCTACAAGCCTTTAAGGAGATTATTTCAAAGCTTTGTACTGTAAGAGTGATGTTGGTATGCAAAAGGTCCATGATGTACACAAACAGTTTAAATATAGTTTTAAACTTAAAGTGAAGCCAGTGCAGAGAAGTTCAAATAGGTTTCATATGTGACCATCTGTTGGAGCGTGGTGAGCAGTGCAGGTTTGTTTGTAGGTTGAGACAAGGTTTGGCGTTTTGGTCGTCCCCTTTTAATGCCAACCGGAGGATAGAACAAAGTATATCTGAACAGTGGAACAAGATTTTTTTAGGCAAACAAAAGGTTAGGATTAACTTCCATGAACTGAAATGCACAGTGAAATGTTAAAGTTGTAATATTAAAACACAGGGAGTACCATGTTTAGAGTCACAAAGTAGCCATACCTTTGAGCACATGATACTTTATCGTCTATTTTACTTATTTGGACCATGATATGCAGAATGGACCTCATGCTTTAGTGACGAAGTTGTAAAACTGGCGAATTAGACAATATACTCATCAGGGAAATATTTACTGAGGCAATAAACAAGTCAGAAGTAGCACATTTTCCCACAGACTTCAATACAATTAGACTTTGGGTTGC